AGCAAAGAAGGCTGGTGTTGAGGGCCTCATGCATGCTAGGCAAACACTTAACCACTGAGTTACACTTTCAGCCCAGTACCAATCAGGGTATTAGTACATACTGAATGAACTAATTTAGAATACTCACTTTATGTGGAATACCTTACTTCTTGTGGTGACAGATAAATAATTATTTTAATTGATAGGATAGCATACTAACTCATGATATCTTAAAAAGTAACCATTTATTTTTCAGATTTAGCAAAAAAAAAAAAAAAATCTGTAATTGCTTTCCAATAGAACGCCCTTAGTGAAATGGAGTGGTTAAAGTTAGAGGTAAGATAAATGAACATACCTGGCTCAGAGCTACAATACATTTAGTATATTAAAGCAGCTGACATGATGACTTTTTGCGGGCCTTCCCAGGCACTGGAGTTTTCCTGTTAATTTGCCGCACTAGGTCATAAAAGATCTGCAAACACATTATTATTATTTTTTAAATTCACAGGATGAAAAAAACCAACAAAAACAAAATGAAAAAACTAGAAATTTCCATGGATATAAACACACTCAGAAAGCAAATATTCTGTTAAGGAATGAGTGTAAAAACTAGAATTCTTACAAGTGCCACTTTTTTTTTTTTGTTTGTTTATTTCCTGGGAGGCTTAAAATTGTTCTCCCTGAAGCAAGTACTTTGTTGAAGGGCCTGCAGAGATGTTAATTTAGGTCAATTAGAACATTTATACAAAGAAAAAAAATTCTTTGCTCTTTTTTAAATCTTTCTATAGCCTTTGCTGTACAACATGACTTTAGGCCTCTTCAAGAATCATGTGGGTGTTTTTGAATTTTAGTCTTTTACATAATACTCTTTATACACTCAATGAGTTAGTCTGTCTTCCCCATGCTAATCTTCTGTATAGCCTTCCTTTATTTGTGATAAATTTCACTGTACCGGCATTTAATAACAAAACTGATATAGTGTTGTTACTTATTTGCATGCACATATTTAACAAGAATTTTTTTTTGCATGTAAGATCAATGTATCATCCTGAGTACATATTAACTTGGGGTTGTATTAGCACATTTTTTTTCATTAATTTTAAATGCTATGTTTCAAATAAAAAGCATTTTTAATTATATTTGACCATACCTCATTAACATTTATTTTTGATTTTGCAGAAGATTCTAAGAATGCACAGTTGTTCCATTGTCTTGCTAGATTTTGACCTTGTTCCTTTCCTACAACTCTTTCATCTTCCAAGTCACACTTATTACCAACCAGAATCATTGGAACCTAAAATGATATTTGTGAGGTAACATAAATAGGTAAGTGCACTATACAAATTCAAATAAAAAGAACTTTAAAAGTCAACCCCAAGAATTATTTTTTCCATGAGAAAAACATTAAATGTGTAATAAAATTCTCAGTTAAAATATGAAAGCCCTAACAAAGCTAATTTATAATACTTAAATATTAAATACTACTGTCAATTATTTCCAGTCTTTATATTCTTTTATTTGGAGATGTCAAATGATATCTCCAGAAGGAAATAAAGAGAAAGATTGAAAATTATATACATTAAGTAAAAATGAACATAACCTAGTTAATATAGATGGAAGTAAGAACCTTCGGCAAGAAATTTTTAGAAAACAAACTATGAGCCAGGAGTGATGGTACACACCTATAATCCCAAACTCTTGGGAGGATGAGCTCGGACTGCAAGTTTAAGGCCAGCCTGGGCTGCAAAATGATATCCTATCTCAAACAAATGCAAAAATGAGGTATGACCTATCTACAAAAGAGGGAAAAATTATACAACAATGTACTTGAAGAAATTTGGGGCCAGGTGCCAGTGACTCACTCCTGTAGTCCTACCTACTGGGGGCAGAAATCAGGAAGATCATAGTTTAAAGCCAGCCCAGGCAAACAGCGTGAGAAATCCTATCTCAAAAATTACCAAAACAAAAAAAGGCTGGCAGAGTGGCTCAAGTGGTAGAGTGCTTGGCGAGCAAGTATGAGGCCCTGAGTTCAAACCCTAGTACCATCCTCCCTCAGAAAGAAAGAAATTAGCTAGAATTTCTCAGTTTTCACATATAAGTTAAATAACTTAGTTCAGTAAGGACACTTAAACATCATGTGTTTAGATATGTGATGCTTGTAATTTTAAAAGAACACTATGGAAAAGGAATGCTTATTTTACCAAACTACTATTAACCATTTTGAAATTAGTTTTCTAAAGTACTTGCTGAGAAAAATCCCAACAGGAAAAACAAGACCTTTGGCTTTTTAGGAATATAGTTTAGTATTAAGAATTTAGTAAATACTTGCTTAATGCAACTGATGAAAGAAAGTATGTAAGTTCTCTCCAAATTCTGCTGTTTCAGAAGTACAGAAAAAGGCAGCATTTACCATGGATGTCTCTCAACTCTCACAACATCAGCTATAATTAAAGTATAATACAATGGTTCTTGAAGTGTGGTGCCCGGGTCTGCAGCATCAACACCAGTTGGAAACTTAAGAGATGCAAATTCTTGGAGCAGGGGCATGGCTCAAGTGATACGGTGCCTGTCTCGTAAGTGTGAGGCCTTAAGTTCAAAACCCCACTATCATGACCACAATAAATAAATAATAAACAAATAAATAGGTTTAACATTTACTTTTACAAGATAAAGGAGGGAATTTCTCACTATCTGTATGTACATATTTAAAAACATGTATAAGCATTTAAAGGTTTATTTTTGCCTTCCAATAAAAAGCTTCTGAAAAGCAAACTCCTCATACATGAACTTTAAATTGAGTATAAATTTAATCTTAAAATTGAACACCAATTAAGTCTAATTGTAAGCACATATGTAAATATCACAATGTATCTCCTTGTACAACTATTACATGTTAATAAAAAATTTTAAAAATTGAATATCGTTGTAATAGGGGTTTTGAAATAAACATATTTATTAGGAAGTCAGCTTACATCATCAGTGTCTTTAACTCGAAGAATCTGTTCTCTTAGATCTTGTAAATCATTAAATGTAGACTGTGCTGTGATGGAATAAACTAAAGCAAAGCCTTGTCCATTTTTCATGTACAAATCTCTCATTGCTGTAAATTGTTCCTACAGAACAAAGAAAGATTAAGAAACAGGAATGTTTTGACAGCTGATCTGACAATTTTCAAAGTCTATAATTACAGCTCAGTGAAGAATATTGCAGTATTAAGTAACATTTCTCAAAATTATAGATCATGGAAATACATTATTGAATAATCGGTATTTCAGGAAATAGGTTTTTTTTTTATTTAAAAATAATACACCAAAGATATACACAATACATATTCTCAAGTGGAACAAAAATATCCTGTTTCTAAGAGCTACTTAATAACAGTTTTTTTTTAACATGCAGTGTTGAACACCCTAATCTTATCCCCAAGTTATAGTAGCTCACAGTGCTCTTATTCCAGCATGCTTACCCTCATCTTACCATTTTCCTACACTCAACCCTTCACTAGATTATGAGCATTTGAGGGTTACAAGATAGTACCTGGCATGTATCAGACACTCAACTACGAGCTGAATGCATAACTACAATCAAACTCTTCCCTTTACTTCTTGATACCTACAAATCTATTTAGCTGCTGGTCTGGACAGAGCCTGAGTATTCCCCAAGGCTTTGTGCATCAAAATTTAATCCCCATATATTAAAAGGTACCAAGAGGTTGGAATCTTAATCCTATGATGTTGAGAGGTGGGCCTTTGGGATGTGATTAGGATTAAAGTCATTAGGGTAGAGCCCCCATGATTGTATCCTGCTGGCTTTATAAAGCAGAAGGAGAGACCTAGAGATGCATATTTCCTATTTCTTGCCATGTGATGCTATGTGCTAGTTACCTCAGAAGAAGGCCACCACCAGAATCCTCCTAGACCCTGTAGCTCCAGAAATGAGAGCCAAAATAAACCTCTTTTTATGAAGTAAGCCAGCTTTAGGTATTTTATTATAATAACAAAAGAGCTAATACACTGACCTGTACACACTTGGGAGGAAAGACACAAATCAAAACATTTCAGTCACTAAGGAATGAGTTTATGTTCCAAGTATTTTTGACATTATTTTTAATGCACTAATATAGTTTTAACAGTACTAGTGAGACCATGAAAAATTTTACTGTATCAATGTTTCAAAATTCTTCAATAACTGATCCATTCTAGTTACAAAGTATAATATTAAAGCAGAACTCATGAGAATAAGAAAAACAGCTTTAAGAATTAATACAAGTAGTACTTAAGCTTAACTAATATTTACCTATAGAATAATAGCACATATAAAGTTGATATTGTACAAGCTGTAATACTTTGGTGATTTGTTTTACATACCGTTCCTGCAGTATCCAAAATTTCAAGCATACACTGTTGTGCATCTACTTCAACTTGCTGAGGAAAAAGTTAAAATATACCTTTATTTTTATGTATGTAAGACTACTTAAATATACACAAAAGTACATTAAAAACAAAGGCATACACAGACACACACACAAAAAACACAAAGGCACATATTATGGTAACTTTGCAAAGTAGTAGTAGGTACTTTAGCAAATAAAACAGGAGAAAAACTACTAAGCCATAAGCTTCAAAGACCCCCAAATTCTAGTAGGTATAAATCTGTGTCAAGATTCAGTTTCAATATGAATCACTTAGCACTAATTCTACAGAAGAAATGATTTCAAAATACCTCAAATAAATCCAACAGTAGTTCCAAAAATATCAGCAGCTATTTTGTCTATCAACTATATCTATCATAATACTTTAGATATGCCTTCATTTGTCTAGATAACTACATTATCTCACCATATTGGAATTGATTTCTGTTGGCAAGGAAGCAGTGCCATAGCTATAAAATTACATATTCCTGCAACACCTTTCCACCTAATATTTCCTAGGAAAAAAGGTTTTTTAGAATTAGAAGTAGAAGGAAAAAAGAGTACTTCTGCCTCACAGCTGGGGTGAGGAAAAACAATTTCTGCACAACACTGGGAACCAGACTGGTTGCTACATAAAGACAGGGAGACAACTCTCTCACTACTAAATTAAAAATGTTTGTATGTCATTTTATTGTCATGCTGTGTTAGTGGACACAGGAATTTACCTTTCTATTGTTAGCAGTGGAACTTTCTTGAGGAGGTAGTAGGTAGTAAGGTTAAGGAGACTTCTGCACACTTATCTCTAGGTTAACAAAAGCAGGTAGCTTGAAAGCAATCAGTCTTTCTAGCAGGTGAAGGTAAGGAACATGGGGTTGCCACTTGAAATTGATGGCCTGGCTTTATTTTCTAAATTGATTACCTCTTTATCTGACTTTGTACACAACAGTCAATGATTATAAAAGTAAAAACAAATACTTATATTAAAATCAAAAGGCCTTTTTAAAGTAACATATACCTTTCTATAAGAATCTTCTATTGTAGGATCATATTTTTCAACAAAAATTCCTTGGACAAACTGTACAGTCTGAAAAAAAAATTCACATACTGTTATACTTCTAAAGAAAATAACAAATCCCAATCTGTAAACTTTAAACTACAGGTGACCCTCTGCGCATCTGTGGGTTCCACATCCTCAGATGAATAAATCAAGGATCAAAAATGTTGGGGTTGATCTGGGCGCTGGTGATTCACGCCTGTAATCATAGCTGCTTGGGAGGCTGAAATCAGGAGGATCATGGTTCAAGGCCAAGGTGGGCAGACAGTTTGTGACCAACCCCCCTACCATCTCCAAAACAACTAGAGCAAAATGGACAGGAGTGGCTCAACTGATAGAACACCTGCTTTGCAAGCATCAAGCCCTAGGTTCAAACCCCAGTCCCACTAAACAACAATAAGAACAAAAACCCCCAAAACGTTGGGGGTGATGGTAAACAGGCCACAATGCATTTATTCTGATTATGTACAGACTTTCTTGTCATTAACTAAACAATGCAACTATTTATATAGCATTTATATTGCAGTAGGCATTATAATTCTGTGTAACATACACACACATGCAGTCAGTACATCTTCCTATTACTTTAGATACAAATGAAAAAATGACTCATGCAGTATTACATACACTTCTCAGTTTAATCCAAGCATGTCAAATTCTGTGGTAGGTGGTCACTTTCAGTGACTAAGTAAGATGGTTTATCTCACTAGGGAGAAAGCGGTCAATCTGTTCTTGTAGGACTTTGCTAAACTAAACTACTCAAAATGATTTCCTGGAAGTCTCTCCCTATTCCCCAACCATCACTATACCAAGTTGTTTCTTCATTTCTTCATTCTTCTATACCATTCCAGAATGCTGAAAATATGGCCACTAAAATGATGTAAAACTAGGTAATTTTTATAGCTCTTTTTTTTTAAACACTGATTATATAGTATTAGTCTGCTCACAAGGAAACAAACAAACAAAATTCATTCTTATCTGGTCCCAAAATGTAAACAGACACATACTTATATGCTCTCACATCCGTGCCCAAACTATATTCAGCATACCTCAAAGATGATCCAACCAGACATGACTAAAATTTGGCTAAAATTACAAGAAAAATATATTACTTCTAAAGTTATTTTCGGATTTCACCTTAACAAGTAAAGGAAAAAATCAAAACTTAAAATTCAATAGAGAAAAAGGTCTTTATGGTTGAGTGAGAATGACTTACCAGAGCAGATTTTCCAACACCTCCTGAGCCAAGAACGACTAGCTTATACTCACGCATGATGCAAACTTGTCAAAACCTAGTACCTTATTAAAGAAAAGAGAATTCATTAGTAAAGTCTTAGTATTTATGTATTTCTTATATAAATAAGACATTCAAGCCTAGCAGATTTATTTGAAATGATTACTAGACCATACTAATATGGAGTACTAAATAAATAAACTTACTATAGAATTATAGATGTGACTTGCAGCCTATCCTAATTTTAATTAGAATAAAATATTAAGAAAAAAAGGAAGTTGAAAAATATCACAAAAGTGTATTCTCATTACAAGATGACATGTCCACTCCTCTTCAAAACAATAAGAAACACAAACATCCTATAAACCATCTGGAACCATGAACCACAAGAACCAGAAGTAACTGAGTGCAGAGAAAAACCCCATGAACAAAACAGACAAAAAATTCTGTCCCCACTGAGCTAATGCTCTAGGAAGACAAATGGGATAGGATAGGGACTACAAAAATATCAGCTAAGCATGGTGGTACATGCCTGTAATCCCAGCACTCAGGAAGATGAGGCAGGAGGATCACAAGTTTGGAGGCCAGACTGGGCTACATAGTGAGACCCTGTCTCAAAAAAAAAAAAAGTTTTAATGAAACAGCTGTCCCATCCTTTCACCTCTGTGTTGTGCAAAGTTTCTTTCATGCCATCACAGCAGAGTTCAGGAGTTACAACAGCAACGAACTAGTTGGAAAAGTCTAAAATATGTACTGTTTGGCCAACCACTGGGATAGATGAACGGTAAATTAATTAGCAGAGGAAGAAGACCAAATAGTACAATATCAGTACTGATATCAAATCCCAGTACGTACACACACACACACACACACACACACACACACTCTCCTTAAGTGTATGTGTGGGGAAATAGACAGGGAACCTGAAAATGGTCTCGAATTACAAGCAGAATTGAAGAATATGACTTTCTACCTTCTGTAGTCAAAAACTCTGTGTTCAGTATAATGAAAATGTGGCTATCAAGCAAAAAAAAAAAAACGAAATAAAAGCCGCCCATAATAAGGCTTTCTATGAATTTTTAGTATACTAAGGATAAATAGAAGATTCTAAAAATTTCCAGGATGGTAGACTACCTGAGAATGAAAAGCTCTCACACTGCTGGAAAAAACAAAATAGTCAGTAGTAATATCACAAAAGTAGCTACCAGACAGATTTTAATCAAGAAATGATAGTTCTTTCATGGTAACAGGTCCAGAACTGGCTTAAACCAGCTTTAATCAACCAATAACAAGTTGCATCAGTGAACATGCTTCTGCAAACAAACCAATTAGCAATGGCCCTTTATTTCTGGAAAAAAACAAAAAACAAACAAACAAAAACAGCCTATAAAAAAGAAGGAACTCATTTCATTGAAAAACATCTGAAAGCCAACCAATCAACACCTGTCTCATTTGAGTGACAGTGCTTCTTCAGTTAACATTAAATCATTCCTGCCTTTTAAAAAACTCAATGAAAATTTAAAAAAATAGGAAAAAATGTAAAAAAATCACTTCTGTCTCTGGAAGTTTGCTGATCTTTAAACTTTGGAATTCCCCCCAATTCTGTAAAAACCAATAGTCTGCTCTGCAGAGGAGACATTTATGTTTAAGTCATCAATAACTTCACTTGTAGATTTTGTTTCTGATATACAATATTAACTCCTGTCCTCTCACAGTTGACTTAAGATCCTCATTTGGCATCATTCCAAATGGGTGTACTGGATGGTTCTTCATGTCCAACTTCTTTGAATTTGCTATCAAAAGAGTCAGTCCCGACATTGATGGGAGTTCCAATTTGAATCTGGTCATCCTAAGATTTGTGACCAAGTAAGTCTTTGTATAGGCAATTAGGCTTTTGGTTTTCATTTGGAGTTATACCATTTGGTTAATATTTTTGTCACTGGCTGTTTATCTACTTGTGAAAAGTTTTATCATATGAGTTTTGTTTTGGCCTGGGTGTCTTATTTCCAGAATAAGGGGGTGCTACCTCATAGGGAATAGATGGAAACATAAATTCGATAACCCTCCAATCCAATTCAAACTGGCTGGGCTCAAGCACAGAAGGTTGAAGATGAGTAAAACTAGGAATCAATTTAGGCAAAACTGATTGCTCAAACTGCATTTGAGGTCACCTATAAAACCTTGATGATGGTAATTACTGTCTTATTAACTTATAATCATTTTGTTTGGTCCATTATCATAATGTTAGTACCTGTAAGGCTATTGATTACATGGTCTCTTTCTCACATTTGTCTAGTCAGGGAACCTGAAGACATATTAGGATACACTTATTTAAAAAATTTAAGCATTCAAAATATTTTAATTTATGGAAATACTTTATATCCCATGAAACAGTAGACCTTAAGAATTAAAAGAGCTGGGCACCAATGGCTCATGCCTGTAATCCTAGCTACTCAGGAGACAAGAGATAAGGAATATTGTGGTTCAAAGCCAGCCCAGGCAAACAGTTCACAAGACAATATCTTAAAAATACCGATCACAAAAATGGTTGGCTGTGTGGCTCAAGGTGAAGGGCTGAGTTCAAGCCCCAGTACCTCAAAAAAAAAAAAAGAAAGAAAGAATTACATGAGTTTTGATATATGTTAACACCCAAGTAACCCATAAAAACACCTCTCATTAAGATTTAAAATATTGCAGCTGGGCGCCAATGGCTGCGATCAGCAGAATCGAGAAGAGCCGAACCAAAGAGTTCATGAGATGACCAGCCCCCCATCTACAAATAACCAGAGCAAAATGGGCTGCAAGCATTGCTCAAGTGGTAGAATGCCTGCTTTGCAAGTGCAAAACCCTAAGATCAAACCCCAGTTCCACCAAAAAAAGAAAAAGATTGGGAGACTGGGCTGGTGAAGTGCTCAAATGTTGAGTACCTGCCTGGCAAATACAAGGCCTTGAGTTCAAATCCCAGTACTATTAAATAAACAAATAAATAAAATATTTCCATCACTCAGTTCCAATGTGCCTCTTCTCAAATAATTATGCCAAGGCACTTTCCTTAACTATAGTAACTGTTTTCTTGTCATGTGTTTGCACTGTCAAAGTCAGAACCCCTCTCCCATGCTGTATCAACTTTCAAAATACAATCTTAAACTTTTGCACTTACATGATTAATGACAAGGATGTGTTTAACTGGAGTTAACAGCCAATTTTTCAATTATCATAATTAATACTTTAAGAGGAACTATAACTATAGAAAAAATTATGAGGCCAAATACCATTCAATAATCAACTGGTATCCTGGGGCCTCAAAAGATAAATGACTAACATAATCTCCTCTGCTGAAACCTTTGGGAACCTACTACTCTCCTTGAATTATTCTATTTACATTAACCACATCAGCTCTTCGATCCCTGCTGCTTCTCAGTCCCCTTACCTGTGAAGGAATAATTTACATCACACAATGGCTTCTTGGATTTCCTAGAGCAGAAGGCAGATCTGTAGAAACTGAATTTAAATTAATGCTAGTCTAGAATTTAGTAGATAGTTATACTACTTAAGGATTTTCCTAAATCTCCAGAAGACTGTCAAAAATGGGCTGCAGACTTTAAAAATTTCTTAGATACTTAAAATATCAGAGATGTATCTAGTAGCCCCTCAATATAAGGAAGTGGTTAAAAGCAGCAGAAAGAAAACCAGGAGACTTATGTAATGCAGCATATTTTAAAAACTGATATTTAGAAAATGAGAACATATATAAGAAATAAAACTATTTTAGAAGTCTCTTAGTGGTAGATTGGTCAAGATTCAAAATTGTAAATGAAAGAAAAATTACTTGATAAAAATAAAATAAAATTCACTTCAGGAAACTCAAAAAATACTTTGTCACAGACCCGATAACTGAGGCAAAAGGAAACATACCTTTTTTTGGGTAAATGGACTTAGACTTGAAATAGTAAATTTAAAAATGGAAAACTGCTCACTTACAAATGGCTAAGATTTTCAGAGAGCCTTACAAAGAAAACATTCTAGAAAAATAAACACAATAAAAAAAATTAAACCAAAGGTCACTGTTTCTAGGAAACAGAAGCCTATAGATGAGGACACAAAAAAAACTGCAAACAGAAGTAACAGGGAGAACGATGTTTCATGTTTACTAAGAAAAACAAAAATATAAAAATCTGTGCAAGACTGCTCCAAGGGCAACACAAGCACCCAAGTCCTCATCCTTCCTACTGAGGGTAAGGGTGGGACTGACGACACATATTCACAAGCAATCTTTTGAGAGTGATAGAAGTGTTCTAAAAACTGGTTGAAGTGCACATCTGCATAAATTCACTAAAACCCCAAAACACAACACAACTGATGGAATCAACATAAAATCACCATTTAAAATATTAAATATAAAAAGTAAGTATTTTGGAAATCACCTTTCTGATTTCTTTTCCTGCTAGGCACTGATGGCTCACACCTGTAATCCTAGCTACTCAGGAAGCAGAGATCAGGAGGATTGCATTTAGAAGCCAGCCCCAAACAAACAGTTCGTGAGACCCTATCTTGGGGAGGGGGGCAGAAAAATCACAAAAAAGGGCTGGCAGAGTGGCTCAAATGCTAAGAGCACTTGGCTAGCAAGCATGAGGCCCTGAGTTTAAACCCCAGTGCAGCAAAAAAAAAAAAAAAAAAAAAAAGTATTTCCATTTCACAAATAAAAGTGGCCAAATAGGTTGTGGGAACTTCTTTTGTTTTTTTGAGACAGTGTCTTGGTATATAGCCTAGGCTACCCTGAAACTCATAATCATCTCCTAGCCTCAGCTGAGTGGTGAGATTATAGGCATGCACCATTACATCTGGATGAAATCGCATTTCTGGAGGGCAGTACTGACATTTGAACACAAGGCCTCAGGTTTCCCAGGCAGGCACTCTACAGCTGAGTATGTTCTTGGCTTTAATAAGCAGCTTTCTAACAAGGGACACTAATAAGTGGGTAATACGATAGCTATTACATTAATCTTTTTATCAGTTCTCTTACATGGATTAAGCCACCAAAATATTTTTACTTAATTCTGAAAAATGCCAATGTTTGTTTGATTCCTTAAAACAATTTCAAAAACCTCGAAAGTACAATAGTCAAGATTATGAACCAATACTTATTTTTCAATAGACGTATTTTATTTTTTTTTCCTTATGGTGCTAGGGATCAAACCTACAGCCTTGTGCACACTAGGCAAACACAACCACTGAGCTATACTTCCAAACTCCTTTATTTTTCAAATTTCTACTTTCTATTATATATCATCCTTGAAAAACTGCTTAAAGTTTTTAAGACTGAGATAACAAATCTGACTGGCAACAGCCATTAGCAGTTCCATTTTTAGGGTTGTGTGGTTTCAGTTTTAGCAGAAAAGTCAACTCTGACCAATAGGGTAATGCCTGTCATTTGCTTGGGGGGAGGGAAGGGAGAATAGTGGCACCTGTTTATGAGCTGCAAGAATGCCTTCCTGTTCAAGTGCTGATCCAAGTTAAAATGAGCTCTTTGAGACCTGTGGATGTTTTAAAATTTTATGACTGGGGAGTTATATTTCAAAGGGATCTGTGATGTCTATTATTTGATATATTGAAACTAATTGCTCTCTTTCATAGAGTCCCAATTTTCACAGCATAGATTAGTGGTTAATGACATCTAACTTTCAAATCCTGGTTTTGCAAGGGGATTGGACTTTCAGCACATGATAAAAGCGAGAGCACACAAGGGAGGGGTGAGGATAGGTAAGACACCTAAAAAATTAGCTAGCATTTGTTGCCCTTAACGCAGAGAAACTAAAGCAGATACCTTAAAAGCAACTGAGGCCAATAGGAAAAGGGGACCAGGAACTAGAGAAAAGGTTAGATCAAAAACAATTAACCTAGAAGGTAACACACATGCACAGGAAATTAATGTGCGTCAACTCCCTGTATAGCTATCCTTATCTCAACCAGCAAAAACCCTTGTTCCTTCCTATTATTGCTTATACTCTCTCTTCAACAAAATTAGAGATAAGGGCAAAATAGTTTCTGCTGGGTTTTGAGGGGGTGGGAGGGAGAGGAAGGGGGCGGAGTGGGTGGTAAGGGAGGGGGTGGGGGCAGGGGGGAGAAATGACCCAAGCCTTGTATGCACATATGAATAATAAAACAATAAAAAAAAATACTGGTTTTGTATAATCTTGGGCAACTCATGAACTCCTTAGAGCCTTACTTTCCTTACAGGTGAAATGGAGACAGTAATACCTACATGACAAAGTGTGTGATGGATATGAAGTATGTAAAGTTTGTCAGAACAGGTATTAGTTGGTTTTATTCATTGCTATTATCTCCAGAACTAAAACAATGCCTGGAATATAGTATGTGCTCAATAAAGCAAGAAAAGACACGTAATTTCTCAAAACTCACTGGCATGGTACTTTACATATTGTAATGCTCAATAAAAGACAACTTTAAATAATAATAATAATAACAATGGTCTCAGCTGCAATCCAACAGAGTGAAGCAGAATTGCTGTTCCCTCTGTTGGGAATCACTGCTGTTCAGTAATGGGTTGGGGATGTGGCTCAAGCTGTAGAGCACCTAACCAGCAAGCAAGGGGCCCTGAGTTTGTTCAAACCCATCTAAAAAGAATGTAAACAAGGAATTGAATCGTATTGCTTTTGTTGTGTAACTTCTACATCAAGCAGGCACTTGCATCAATATAAGAGGCAGCATGATTCACATCACCTCTCCAATAATCTAAGATTACAGATGAGGTAATTCCACTGTTAAAAAGTGAAACATTTTTCTAAAATTTTTCAATGCATAAATACTTCTACTATTTCTTTGAAAAAATTCTTCTTGGAGGTGGGCGAGCTCAGTGGTAAAATGCATGCAGAGGGGATTTTTAGCATTATGTCATTTACATTTACTTATCACAGGAAAATTATTACATGCCTAAGGCATAGGAGTTTTAGACCCTCATGTCACTACATTTAAAGATTTGAGATGCTTCATTTGTGTTACTACCTACCAGGAACCTGAGCAATGAAAGTTAATTGATGGCTTACATCTTGCTATTATTTCTTGCAAAATACCCGGGCAATAAACATTTACTTATTTTAAAGTAATTTATTACATATTCTACAACTTTCTCCATTTACTTTACAGACTATAGCTATGCTTGCACTAGTCCTTTTCCTTAATCAATTTAAGAAGTTTTTTAATTCTAGTCAGAGTAAATTATAGCAATGACCTCCTAGGACTCAGTTTCCAGTGGCTGCTTCATAACTTCTTAAAATGAAAGTGGGCAGGGGCAGAGGGTAGAGACAATCATATTCTACACTAAGTTCAATACATTTGGAATTGTTCTAAGAGCGGGGAAGGTGGAAAAGGGACAAAGATGGAGGGGGTAAATCTAACTAAGATATATTGTAAGCATATCTGTAAATATCACAATGTATCTCCTGCACAACTATTATATGTTAATAATAAAAAATAAATTTTGGGCTGTAGGATGGCTCAAGTGGTAACAGTGCATGCAGAACAAACACGAAGCTGAGTTCAAACCCCAGTATTGCCAAAAAAAAAAAAAAAAAAAAAAAAAAAGATTAAGCTCAACAAATTTATTTAAGACATTTCACCAACCAAATTAGCTGGCATTTTCACAAAAATACAAAGTAATAATAGATGCTATCATGATTTTGAGGAAGCAGACAATCCTGAAGATTTACAAGTCCAAGACAATAAAAACTGAGTAATATTTTACTCTAAGTGCATTCATTACATTACATAAAAGTACATGCCAAAATGAAAATAACTAATTCAATTATCCAGCATCCTCAGTTATGGATAATATTCTTAATAAGACCTACATAAGATACAACTGCAAAGATCACAGATCCAAATTCCAAATCAACTATGAGAAAAATTCTAAAAATCACTGAGGAAATTAAAAAGCATAACAAAATGATAGATTTATGCATCAAAAACCCCTACTGGTTAACTTTACTTGATGCTGACATTTACTAAGGCCAAATTCTGTTCCAAAAACTGCTTAGAACATAACAATCAGAAAAGAAAATCTAAGAAATGATGCCTTCCACCAAGAGTACTGTAATATATTATCCAATGTTCAACATCAATAAATACATTGTGAGTGCTTACCATATGTCCGGCACTGTTCTAGACAGTGAGAATAAAGTAGTGAACAAAGATCCTGTCCTCAGAATTTACAATCTAGAGGAGGAAAAACAATGCCAATATAGAAGATGCCAGGATATGATTAGCCGTATGGAGAAAAAAACAAAGCAAATTAAAGGAGATATAGAATGTGAGAATGGATGGACTGTTTTATACCAGATGAGTATGAGGGATTCCAGTAATGGTAAAAGTACTGTATGAACTCAAAAAATCCTGCTAATAGGATTAGTATCAAATACTGGTTTCTACAAAAGGCTCTTCCGTTATGATGCTGGGTATTTAAAACTCATCTTTGGTGAGGTAACATGAAAGTTAACTTGTGGTTAAAGTAACATTTGGATTATTGACCCAGAGTCTATTGGGAGACCTCATGGCTTTGATGGGCAATCTAAATGTAGTTGGTCTTATGAGGTACTATTTTTCTATATATGCAAATACTCTTCAATAATTTCCTTTATGAGCTCTTTACATAAAGATATTCATGTTCTTCCCCCTGGATGCCTACCCTGGTCCTTTGTAGCAAGAATAACACATACATTAAGATAGGGTGCTCCTGATTAGCAAACAGTCAGGATGCAGTTCTTCAGAGAGGAGTGTTAAGGAAATGTCTCTGAAATATTTTTGCATTATGTAGCCCATACTGATCATTCACTTTTTGACAGAATACATCAAATACTTTAAAGACTTCATTATGTATTATCTTATATTATTTCTAACAGGCAACAACCTATATAAAGTAACATTATCTTGGGATTTAAGACATTTGACTCTATTTAAAAAGCTGTATTTCTTGGGATCAATGAGTTAATTCTCAATATCCAGGTTCCTTGTTTGTAAAATGAGGGAATGAGCACTCAGGTGCCTTACCCCAGCAAAGTAAGCATGTAAATGCCTGAAGCAGCAAGATGTGTTAGGGAATGGTATGAACTGTGGACAAATACAGAGTGAATGCTTACCCAAGTGAAGTAATTTGAATTCTAAACATCGTGAATATTGTAGTAACCAACAAAACCTTTTTGAGATAAGATTTGAGTTCTGCCAGAAGCTTTTATCTTCTGAACTAGTTGATCCTTAGGATCCCTTCAATTCTAAAGTACATTGCTACACATACCAGGTTTCAAAGAATTAAACAGGAGTGAAACTTTCAAATTATCTTAATGTTAAATTCCTTCTAAATTACTGTAAAAAACAAGATATAAACTCTGCCTTGGTAATGAAATTCAACACTCTAAATATTTTTTCCCCTAACTTCATAACGGTGTTTTGACATTATGGATATTTTAAAACCATCTTTCAAATATAATACTGATTCTAAAAATGGCTGAATAAAGAGACGGTTTGCCCATTCATATACTGCCCACAACTGGGAAATTCATAAACACTGAGGAAAGAAGCAAAGGAAAAAACCAAGGAAAGAAGCAAAGGCCTACATTTTCTTCTTCCTTGCTGGTATACTAGTCTCTGAGTTGCTTCATGCAGTCAAAGAAAGCATTCTTTCTAATTAATTTAAAGTTAGGGTGTGGGCATGAGGTCCTTTCTCAGGAAATATACTTCTCTTCAACTATCACTGCAAAGGAAAAGATTGAATGTGCAAGAGATTATATGTAATGGAGATGAGAATTAAGACTGAGAAGTAAAAAGTGGTTATAAAGGAAAAGTCTACATATCAAATATACAAAGAAATGTGGACTAGGGAACCAAAAGTCACTAGATATACTATAAAAACTTTAAAGCAAGTAAAAGATCTTCAGGACTTAAAACAAGTCTGTATGTTAAGATGGAGCCAAACAAATAACCTGACATTTTTAGAGACTTTTCAATCAAGTGAGGCTAATTCATTATAAAGTAAATAAACTATTTAGCTGGTTTGAGGACCAAATTTAGCTTTCCTTTATAGCCATAAAAGCAAACACTGTACCATGTTTGCAGCCTAGGGTGGTAAAACATGAAATCTGGAAATCAGGGACCTAGAACTGACTATGTAATTTACCAGAGGGTAGTCACTTATTTCTAGTTGGTATCTTAATCTGTAAAATATAGATAGCAACCAATCATAGGGTTGATGAATAGACTAAACAACAACATACACTATTGATGTAAGTGTTAAGTCATTACCAACATCAATCAGATGAAAAGTGGACCTTATTTATTTTGGTGTCCACTCTTTGGTCTACAAAGTTTAATGACTAAAGACTAGCTAAAAGCTGGGCACAATGATATACTACTGTAATCCCAGAATTCAGGAGGCTGAAGCAGGAGGATCATGAGTTTAAGGCCAACCTTAAACAACAAAAAAACAACAAAACGAAGGGGAAAAAAAAATAGGTAAAGACTAAGAATTCATTTCCAGAATTAAGAAGGGAACTACCTGATTTTTAACAGACCACACCATCAACATACCTTCTATAGGTAAAGTGTCATTAAAGTTCACCTCACTTTCTGAAAGATATTGAATTACACAAATCTTGGCAATAAAAAAAAAAATTCTTACACTTGTCTTCTAAGCATTACAATTCAGTAGAAAAGAAAATGCCCTGGGAACAGAATTGTGTTACTTACAATCAATGATCCTATGTTCTAGAGACACTTGCTCTAAGCCTCATATTTACTTTTTAAATCTTAGTAATAAATGTATAAAATAGGTTAAGAGTTGAATCCTTGAAAACTAATAAAGGAACATTTTAAAAGCCTATTTTCTCTTCATTAAAATACTGTATCAAGAGTCTCTAAACAGCTAGTCAAATTTTTCCCCCAAATGTTGGTGACAAGCAGTTTTCCAATCCTCAAGTTATTTAGCTGTAATACTTCTCCTCCGTTTGAAATTCTAGGATCTTAAATTATAAAGAAAGGGCTAAGTAAAAACACTTAACTACTAGTTTCTGAAGTCAAGTGATGTTACTTCTCCCACTGAACACTTGATTTCTCCTTTCCGCCTTCAACTCCCAAAGTAGTATTTTAACAGCGTAAAAGGATTACTATGTTCTCCTCTCACTTCCAAATAAAATTAACTAATTCAAAGCAGAAGGACTTGATAGTTATCTGTTGGACACAAGAACAAAATTCAGAATACCTGAGCAATTTAAAAATTATTTCTGGAGGGAAAAAGAGGCCCAAATATCCTCCCCCACAAAAATCAAACTGTTTTAAAAATAAAACAAGTAATTACAAAATGAACAGAAAGCTGTTTAAATGAATACTGTTTATCATATTTACTTTCTGACTTATCTGCCTCCAATGAGAGCAAACAGAAAATATTTCTTACCTTACTAACTTACATTCTGCCAAGAGAGGTCTTCTTGGGAACAGATTTCTAAATTTAGTCCACATAGGATTTGTGGACTATCTAACTTCTTTATTTTGACCATATTTATAATACCTCAAGCAGAAAAAAAAAATCCCCTCTTAATCAATTAATATTGCTAGTAATTTAAAGCTTATTCCAGTCAATCACACCAACTCTCTCACTGAAATGTTCAATAACGTAATTTGACTTGCCATTTAAGATGTTTATCAATTTTATTACTGTTTCAGTACTTGATCACGAGACAAATATTAACTAGAGCAGAAGAACCAGTTTAATAGATTCCTCAGCTGAGTCAATAGATGAGCAAAGTAGTTAAGTGACAAAAAAATGGAGAGACCAACAATGTTTCAAAACCAGACAAGAAATGTAGGCTCAAGATCACCGTATTAGTTTTTATCAGATCCTTCTAAATAGGTTGGATTTATGTATGACTCTGCCCCGCTCTTAAGAATTCTCCCGACATAACCTAAACAAAACAAAAACAAGACCAATTACATATAGATAGGCTTTTTGCTGGGCTGGTGGTTCACACCTGTAACCCAAGCTACTAGGGAGGCAGATAGATCAAAGTTCAAGGCCAACACACGCAAAAAGTTAGTGAGATCACATTTCAGCAAATAAGCCAGTATAGTGGTACACCTAACAACCCCAGCTACTTGGGAGCCATGGGTAGGAGGATTATGGTCACAGGCCAACCCTGAACAAAAAGGTGATACCCTATCTGAAAAATAACTAAAGCAAAAAAGAGCTGGGTGTGTGGCTCAAGTGGAACAGTGCTTACCTAACAAGCACAAGGTCCTGAGTTCAAAATCGCGTAACTGTGGTCCTATTATTTTAACCTCTCTGTGACCTTCCTTGTCTGAAATTGGGAATAACAGGCAGGTGTCTTGAGCCACACCACCAACCCTTTTTTGTGTTGGGTGTTTCTGAGACAGGGTCTCGATTTTGTTGCCTGGGCTGGCCTCGAACGAACAACAATCCTCCTGATCTCTGCCTGCGTAGAGTAGCTAGGAATGCAGGCTGAGTCACCAGCACCCAGCTTCTTAAGAGTTTTTAAGACTCAAATGAAGTAACTTAACCGTAAGAAGTAAGCAAATGTTAATTTGCTACTTTCAGATATTACATATACCGGGCTATTTATGTCACTTGAAATTTGCAGCACCTAAAGAACTTTTACAAAACAACAAAGTATAGTATTTTAATAGGAACCTGTGTATCTGGCAATTAAGACTGGTTCTCTCTCTTTACCCCATTATCAAGTCTGATCCTTTCTACCTCAGTATAGCTTTAGAATCAATTCCATTCTCTCTACTTCACTACCTTGTATGTGGTCTGATTATTTCTCAGAGGAAAAGAGGGATACAGGAAGCAAATATGAAAGAAAAACATTAATTTACTCTAATTTGAATTTCAGTGACTGACCAGAGAGAGCCCATCTTATTCACAGATTTATTAGACGTGGTTTTGGTCAAAATAAATGAAAGAATGGATAAATAGAGTAAGGGGGGGGATATCAAGTACATTATATGCATGTATGGAAATATCACAACAAAATCCCTTTATACAATTAATGTCAGATAATAAAAAAGAGAAAAAATTTAAAACATAAAAATTTAAATTCCTGTATGCATTATGTAGCTCAGCTGATGTGGAGAAGCTCTCAGTCCTTCCCGTGTTATCATCAATTGTGCTCAAATCATTGTATCATCTGCTGAGTATTTTCCTGTCCTTAATATTGTGAAAATCTGCCTCCCCAAAAGCAAAAACTGCTCAAAAAACAGGCTAAAAGTTATGATAATCCGCCCAAAGCAAAAGGGGCACATAATGTGCTTAATTTAAGTGATAAAGTGAAACTTTTAGATTTGTTGCAAAGGAGCATGTCTTTAGCAGAAGTTGGGTGGCCTTTTGGGAAAGATGAATCAAACATCAGCAGTACAGCACTGAATTCTAGGCATCCTCAGCATTTGCAGTTTTTCCTCAATGCAGGTCTCCTCGGAACCACATACCTGCAGGTACCAAGATCTATTGTATTAGGGCTTTCCTGTTTGTTTTGTTTTTGTTTGAGCACTCATACAGCCAGGCTGGCCTGGAACTAGAGATCCTCCTACATCAGGATTCTGAGTGCTAAGATTACAGGCAGGTATCATCATGCTTCTGTATCAATACCTTTAATTGCTGATTCTGTTTTCAATAATACACCAAGTGCAAATGTATGTCACAGAACAGTTTATGTTGCACTCTGGCTTATCTGATGATAAAATTTGCAAGGTTTTCAGTAGCCACTTTATTCTAAGTTATATACTGGCTATTAAAGAGAGAACTCGGCCATGGGGTTCTCTTATTTTTACAACATGAACAGAGACAAAAATCGATTCTAGCAAAGGAATGACCAGGCACAGACTATCCTATCATGGACGTTCTTCTAGAAACACAGTCTCTTTAAATCTATGCTTGAACAACTATAAAGGGAATAAAGGGAAATTTCCAGACTGTTTCAGACTTTACTATATCTAATAAAGTACATTTAACTAAAGCATTATCATCTCACAGATTATGTAATTTCTAACCTAAAAATTTTGAGCAGTACCACTTTCTAGTAAGGCCACTAAGATATGTCACATACAAGGGCTGAGGGTGTAGCTGAGTGGTAGAGTAAAGCACTTGCCTAGCATGTTCAAGACCCTGGATTCAATCCCCAGCATTGAAAATAAATAAAAAGGTGTCATATTCAAATATATTTCGAGCAAATGAACTTCATTTGAACATTAAAGAATACAAAATTATTACATCAGAAACATAATACCTAAAAGTCCAAGTGCCCACCCAACTAAGCCAACAAAAACAACCACATCATACCCAGATTTCATTATACTACCTCAGAAACTAATGAAGTGATAGGCAAAAGAGATGGCTACATTATAAAATGGAATAAGGGTGACCACAATCCCAGTTTAACTTGAAAATTTCATGTTTCTCAGTCCTGAGCAAATCAGGATGGTTGTTCAAGTGGAATACTTATTGATAGAAATTTGCTTCCTTTCATGTTTTATAGACTTAAAGACATACAGAACATACTTGCTCTCAAGAAGCTTCAATTTTATAGGAAAAGATAAGGCATTCAAAATATGGAAAACATCGGATTGGGGATATGGTTCAGTGATAGAGCACTTAACTAGCATGTGCAAGGCCCTGGGTTCAATCCCCAGTACCAGGACAGATGGGGCAGCGGCAGAGGGGAGTATCACAAGGACAAAATATAATGTGATTTCAAAAGGCAAGATTGGGAGCTGATTTATAAAGAAGGTGGCAAATCAAGGAAAGTTATACAACTTCAATAAGTAAAGAATATAGGGACAAGAAAAGCAAGAGCAAAGATGCAAAATATGGGAACTTAAGACTGCAGCACAAAGCACAATCTGACCAGATCACAGTGCATAAAGGAATAGGAAAAGAAACTAGTAAGAATCTATGATCAAGAGGGATTTAAAAAACAATCTTTGGCAGTACTGGGGTTTGAACTCAGGGCTTTGGGCTTGATGGGCAAGTGCTCTACTGCTTGAGAACTAGTCCAGGCCTTGACTCATTTAGTAAGCAACAATACTGGACAATTTGAAAAGAAACATACCAATATTGACAAAAGTAAAGGTATTTTCAAATTAATTTCTAACAATAGGTGGCATAATAATATATCTAAGAATGTTAAACATTTTTATTAAAATATGATATGTAGCCTACTTTTAAACTGCATGAGTTTGCAACAAAGCCTTATTAAGATAATGAAAACTAAAAGATCAGAAACACTATATCACATAGGAAAAAGAAACTGCAAGAAAGTGACATAGTATAGTTAAGACATGAACTTTCAAATTATTCATCAAGTGCCTACTACGTGTAGCCACTGTAGATGCCAGATACACATCTTGGGCTATTTTTCATAATAGGATATTACCTCTGATATTATACATCTAAAGCATATTAAGGTACTCTTAGTCATATTACCACAGAACATGGCACTTCAGGTATTTGCCTAAGATCTCCCAAATACAGGTAGATGTATGGCAGGCCATATATGTTCTTAAAAAACTGCCTTGGACTTGCTCAAGTGCATAAAAAAAATACACTCAGGTAAGGCTTAAATACCTTGTATCCTAGGATCTATACATAATATTCACTGCTGCACAACTAATACTTAAAACAGTATCTAGAATATAGAAGACACTTACTTGCTGAATCAAGCCCTGTGTTGTCTGAGTGGAGCTTTGTAAGCTACAACACTCAGGCCAAATCCACAAGAGGCATTCTTAGTCATCCTTTTGCCTGCAAACAGATTTTCCACGTACATAATATAGCAGGATTGGTGTCTGAACTCAGGGCTTTACTCGAGAAGCAGGCACTCTTCTGCTTGGCCACACATCCAAGTCTGTTTTATGTTATTTTGGAGATGGGTCCTCTAGAACTATTGGGGACTGGCCTCAAACTGTGATCCTCCTGATCTCAGCCTCCCAGGTAACTAGAATTACAGTATGAGTCACTGGCACCCAGTTGCTTTCATATATTTTAAGCAAGTAGTAAATACAGTTTATGGAGATGTTGGCAGAGAAAAGTCAGAAATGAGGGGTGCTGATAGATAGATCAGAATTCAAGTTAAAGGTAAGAATTTCAGAACAAATCACACTCATTTTCATGAATGGAAAACATCACAAATATTTCTTAATACAAATAACTAGCTTTTACAAGATACCACCTCCCACAAGGATGAGTGTACTTCTTAAAAACAGTTTTACAGTCTGTTTCAACATAAGGCTGAATTCAGAAATAAAGAGAATTAGTGTCTTCCATAAAGAGAAACAAATGGCTATAAAAACATTTTATTTCGTTAATCTCATGACTAGGATTAAGTAACATGTTTAACACGACTGCTCCCAAATGCATTAAGAAGCCATAAGAATGTCTTCAATTTCGATTGTGGATTTATAATTTGCATAGCTGTATTACACCTTCAAAGAAACTTCAAGATCAGTATATTCTGAATGGAAAATTCCCTAGTAAAACTGCCAAAAATTCAGGAGAAAAATTAACCAAGCAACAAAAAATGGAAACACGAGGACTTCCCAAAATTTTCTCTAATAACTTTAATATTTCAATCCAAGCAGTACTTTATGCTAGCTGCTTACAGCTGATTGTGTCATGAAATTGTTTTGACTAATTTAACATTCTTCCTTTTCTACTCTTCAGTCTGTTCAAAGACGCATTTAATATCCAGTAAAATAAAGGTCACTGAGAAAAATGAAAATAATGTACACACACTCACTTGCATAATTACTAGGTCAAAAAAGGTAGCTTTGAAACATGCATGTCTTGGTAGTTCTCTGAAATAAAATTACTGTCCAAAAACTTACATGCATACTTGTTTCCATTTTTGAACATTAGTATATATGCCAAATGAATGGATAAAGGCAATGAAAATTGAAGTTTGGGTGTTAATTAGGATGCTAGAAAAAGCACAGCATATGGAGGAAAACACAGAAGGAAGTGGGCACGCACTTCCTATAAACAATTTTGAATTTCAAAGTAGCTTCTCTTCACCTATTTACTTCTTTCTTGTTATTACCAAGTGGGTCCATCAAGAATTTTTAAACAGAGGTCATATTAGACATTCTATCATATTCCCACTCTATTCCATTCTATTCTTATTTTAAAATTAAATGCACTATATAATTCATAGAAATCTTACCAATTGGGGACAAGCTGCATGGTGTATTAGAAGACTCAACAGTGCATTCTACCCTGTGTCAGATTCAAAAAGAATTCCTTGGTAGACTATTTCTATGTTAATTGCTTCAAAGGAACATTTTCAGATCCTGATTGTCTTCCTCAAAGTCAAAATGTTGATGAACAAACCACTAATTAATTCAGAACCATTTCTTGTAGAATTTCTGAAGTTCTAAAATGCCTGAAATTTTTTTATCTGATTTGATGGCAAATCTGACCTGACATAAAAATCTTTTAGCAGTAAAACTTCACCCAAACACTGATGTGAGTCTATTTATACTTTTTAATCATCCCATTTAGTGTGTCTATTTATGTTTCACATTAACAGTATTTTATTATTCTTACTAAAATTCAAAACAATTTCTTTTTGGAAATAGTACTGGGGCTTGAACTCACACTCTTTCACTTGTATCAAATCCCCAGCCCTTTTATTTTTGTTTACTTTTTTATTAATGTGCATTGATTGTACATAGGGGGTTTGCTGTTATATTTCAATAGATGCATACGATGTACTTTGAGCAGATTCACTCCCTCCACATACTCCCTTAATCCTCCTTTCCTCCCCCTCTCCTTTTCATTTAGTTTGTTTGTTTGTTATTTATTTATTTATTTATTTATTTATTTATTTATTTATTTATTTATTTATTTATTTATTGCAGTACAGGAGCTTGAACTCAGGGCTTATGCCTCAAGCCACCCCAC